TTTGACGCATCTAACCCCGGTAATTATACTCATCCATAAGGCCTGTTTCACGGATAATTGTAACCATACGTTTAATTTCGAGCTTACGAGTATATTTTTTATAGAAAATAAACCTATAGGGCGGTAACCGCCGCGCCGTCAAGTCAGTAAGGGCGGGTGATTAGTTGTATGGGCCTACTTGGCTGATTTGATCTATTTGGTTAATTTTGCTATACATGTTCGTAGTTAACTATTTTCTGAAAGTGGTTAACTTGGTCTGGATATAATCTGTTATGAACTGACAGCGATCAGTGGGAAGTGTCAGTCAGCCTACTTGACGGTATTGTTTGTTTATAGAAAAAGGTGAAAATGTGACCTGCACTTCCACCATGTGAATATAATGTGATGTACCGATTTACCACTGACAGAAGGTGATCGATAACAGGCAGATGAGCGCAGACTCACAATCTGATTCGCACACAAAAGGCATCGGAGCGGAAAATCGCAATCTAGCATCTCTCGGGCACGGTCGATATGTCGGCTCTATGTGCATGTTGCAAACTATTTGCAGTTTCTATTGCGTAATCACTGATGGGTTGGACATACCAGGTGGCACGCCAGTGGCTGTGCCTGATTTGAAAATTATCCTAGACATGCTAGTTAATTACTGATTTCCTTGGAACCGCAGTCTGCCGTATCAATTCTAATTGCATATATAACAAGATTATAACGTATTCTTATAAAATTTGGAAGCACTGGCTTTCTAAAATTATCAGGATGTTAATATAAAAAAACATATGTATTATATAGCTCCAACGGACAAACACACCATCCATAACCTCAAGAAAAAATTTCATAGTACGGGATTCGAACCCGCGCAGCTTACGGCGAGTATATCAGAAGACGCACAACGCGTTAACCGTGACCTAAAAACTGTGTATTACAAATCAATAATGGGGTCAGTGAAAATGACATGAAGAGAAATCCGAACTCGGATCAGTAAGTTCTTTACAAAATGGCGTCCAGTAGGTTGACACTGCACTTCCTAAGCAATTGGTTAATAAAGGACAAGTTAGCCCCTCTGAAAATATGTATAACAAAACAAACAAATCAATTCAGTCAATTGGTCCACAGTATCCACCACTTTGACACGTTGCGGTCTCAAAATTTCTTCCCTAGCTTCCGGCAGTACCGACCAACAGGCAACGTTGCTATATCTAACCTCGCCACTCCGCAGACACCCAACTCCATCGGTTAAGACACGATTCAGACATCGATCACACGTCGAAGCAAGTGTATCAACGTTAGATGCGATATTTCTTTATCATTCTCGGTCTTAACGGCAAATGTACGGGGTAATCTGTAATAAGTGAAATATGGCTGATAGATTCGTCGAATTACCGGAGTTAAAACCGTATAAATACACTAGCGCGAAGGAATTGAGATATACCCTCCCTCACAACCCCCAATTTTTAGCCACTAACTTTTTTTTGAAAACAAAGTTAGTGCGATATTTTATTATTTTTTTCCTCTGGTTCCGCCGCCAATTGACAAAATTTGAAAAATTAGAAAGCTTTTTCGTCAACAGACCGACGGAAATGAGTGACATGGTTTTTCGAGAAGCAGGAGCTTAGGAAGATGTCTCGGGAGCGAGGGGCGTCTGTGTTGATTACCGGCGATTGAAAATTGAAAACAAGAGCAATATTAGATATCAAATATATTTCCGGTAAAGCATATTTTCGTGTTGAAGACCACTCAAATGTGCGTTGGTGTAGCGGTAGAAGCAAGCTAGATCATCGACGGCCGGTGCGAAACGGTCCCGAGACTGTTTGCTAGAGAAGAGTCATCGATCAGTCGGACAGCCCTCCTCTGCACAGCATCGACCATGAATGACGTAGTCGGGGCGGCAGCACCCTAAACGTGTAAGCAATATTTGAGGATAGGTGTAATCTGGGCCTTGTATAGAGTGAGGAGGACATGTAGAGAATAGTACTTCTTAGCCTCAAAACAAAAAGCTTTTTCCAAGCAGCTGCCGCTAATGACGACATGTGTTCGTGCCAGATCAGGTACTCTGTCTGCTCTTGTAACAATAGAACATCACGTTAGGTCAGCAATATATTTTGCCATTTGGCACGTGCGTGTGCATCATAGCCATCACAACAATGCTAAAAGGGAATGCAGGATGATATGCCAGGCTGCTTTGTCGCTAGAAGTACGGAAATGCCACTATGTCCAGGCAACGACTACGGAGTACTACTGATGTTGAGGAAGCATTTAAGTAGCACATAAACAGGAAGGTAACACAGTTCAACGTTTACTTTACGGATGCCCACCTCCTTCAATACTTTGAGGTGGCTGATTTAGCCCATAGTGAGACCTGGGGAGAACGCACAAGGGGCTTAATGGGGCCTAAGTGCTGTGATCTTTGCTGATAACGTTTGCTCCAATAAAAAGTACAGAATGTTTCTATAAATCGGAAACATCTGATTTTGTCTAGATGATATTAATGAAGAATATCTCCGGTCGCTCAGAAAAATGCTTCTGATATAATTGCACTCTTAAATTTAGTTACTTTATCTTTAATTATAAAGCTTTGATAACCTTTTTTTATTCTCCTTTCTGATGTTTAGGCATGTCTTTATGGACGAGCCGGCAAGCGTCCAAGTTCGAGGACCCCGCACGACCGAAAGTCTAATCGTTCATCAAGTCCTCAACGAACCATTTCAACCATTTCTAAAAAACAGAAGCAATCTGACCAACTCGGCCATCGGCACGGCTCTGTCTAAATTCATTTGCATACCTAATGTCATGTGTATAACGTCTATACAAAAACCGGTGGGGATCAACTCCGAAAGAGCGTATCATGACGCGGCGATGCGACCAGCATGACCATACAGCCGCCGAATTTAAGAGGCATTCTAAAGACAATTACTTATTTCTATGATTTTATAGATTCATAACGATAAAATTAAAGAAATATTGTGAGGCCGATGACTAACAATTACTACAAAGGGCTTCTAGAATATACTCCACAGCCAGCCCCAATACTTTTAAGCGAAATATGTACTCATATTCATGATATTCCAGATTCACTGTAATAAAATGTAATGAGTACTGTAAGGTCAATAACTTTATGATTTCTTAGATTCATAACTATAGTTATGTTTATATCCATATGAATTTGTAACAGGAAGATATGCACTTTGGAAAATATGTTAGTAGAGCGCATAAAATGTCGAAAGTGTGATAAAAACGTACTAAAAATATTCTGCTGACGATATTGCAAATAATTATGTTGAAATTACAAGGACATCCGATATAATACTTAAAAAATGTATGCAAAATTTTGAATTCCATTGTTAATATGCACTATACTTAATTGCTACTAATATTAAAAACATTTTTATACTGACGCTGTCGCATAGGCAGAAACCTAAATACAGAGGTACCGCGGCTGCTATAAGGGTCTTAAGCACACCTGAGGTGAGCAGAATTGGGAAAGCCTCCTGAGGGAGATTGCTCAAAGATCTTGACATCCTAGGGACAATGGAGCGATCGTACCGACCAGTTCTGGATGTACCAAGTTAGAGAAAGTTAGGATGAGAGGCAGAACAATAGAGCAAAAATACAGTAAAGGTAACAAAAATGGCGTCAATTAGGTTGACTGCACTTCCCACGCAACGCTGTCATTACCAATTCGTAAAGGATCAGATTTATGAAGGGAAATCTATGATGAATGAAATATGTTTAATAGGTGCGTAAAATTACCGGCGTTGGAAACGTATAAATTTCTTCACCAAAAAATTGATAAATACTCTCCCCACCCCCATACAACCCCCAACAAACACTTTTTAACGTCTGCAAGAAATTTTCTGAAAATGATCACGATCCTCTGAACGGCCAAAAAATTTGGGCGATTTTTATTTATTTTCGTTAATGACCTTTTTGTCCTCCACCACTGGGCAGATTTTCAAAAAGCTTCTTCATCCTTAGCAAATTCCATCCAAATCCGAGCAGCAATAGTTATAGATGGATCCAGAATTAACAGACAGACATAAATGAGCGAGTTTCGTAACGTACATGTCATACCATATAACATCCAAACAAAAGATGATTTCACATTTTCGCATTTTTCCCGTTTCTAAAACTTCCTCGCCAGTGGCGTAGGAAGTTAAATTGAATATTAAGGGACAAAAACATAACACCATATGAGCTTTCTCAAAAAAAGGAATTTATATGCTGCTTTGTGGGCAAATTGTTATAAAAATTGTAGCCAAGAAAATAAGTGGTCACTGTGATATCCGCCAAAAAAGGTATAAAACGTAAACGATATAACTCGACCTGATTCAGAATAACGGTTATCCTGGCTTTTTGCATTTCTATCTTTTGAACGAGCAAGTAATAATTAACTATTCACAACGAATATACTATTAGAGCACACATTGTACGTGATCTGGTAACCAATTAGACGAGATATTTCATTTTAGCGCCAATCCAATGTCAATTCTGGTATTTCATCCCATACTAGTGTTGAATCATAAGCAAGGGGGTTATTCCTAAAAGAACAAGGCAAGTCAGGGGCGTAGCCTTGATGAAAGGGTATAACCCTATAGTGTACCTTTCGTACCGTCATTCAAAAAAAAAACAATCTAACAGGTTTTCAGAGAGGCATCAAACTGAAACTGTGGCCTGCTGAACTTATGAATAAGGTTTCTTTGTAATTTGAAAATATTGAAATAGGGTTTGACCAGATTTCTAGTGGAGAGATTATTAATAACTAACTCTCTCTAGACCGCTTGTTTACGTCATATACCTCTTTGATTTTTTTGAATAAATATCTGGTGGTTATTGTTCCTTCTCTACGACCCTCGCTGACAAGAACCACTGAACCTATACGAAATATTAAAAAAAAGAATGCAAACAAGTTGTTTAAATGCAAGAACATTGAACGGCAAATATACGGGAACTTAGCCGAATAAACTTTTTTATATAAATATAATTTTTTGGTATATAAAACTTACCCTATGTTCTTCGTGGTTATGCTGCATGTGGTTGTGGTGTTCATGTTGGGCCAAGGAATAACCGCAGCTGAAGAGCACCAGGACAATCGAGGAGAGGAACAGCATTATGACGTCACACAAAAGATTTAAAAAAGGTCGAGTTATGGAAAACGGTGGATATGGACGGACCGGTACAATTGTGACTCAACAGAAGGCGTCGAGTCGACCTGTGGCTGGCTGGATCGTGGCGTTCGGCGTTCACAGCAGGCTTGATGTCCCTCTCCACCGTTACCGCACCCCGCGCCATTCTGACCATCCGATCTGACGCGGTCGCCCAACTACCTTTTGCAGTGGCGGCTCGTATGGGTTTGAAAGGTGTTTAATATGACCTGTTTTGCCAAGTGCTAGGGCATTGATATCTAAGACTGTATTAATAGTCGCCACTCATGTATAGAATGATGCTTAAAAACTGAGGACCCCTTGAGAGTGGTTAATGAATGAATGAATAAATGTAATTAGTAGCTTACGGTCCACCACGGACAATGTCGGGCACTTATGCACAACTACATTCCCTAAGCCTCAATATCTGCCCTTCTGGCGAAGTCTAGTATATCCCTGAATTCCATCTCTTTAGCATTCAGTGTTTTTACTCCAGTATAGTCTGCCTGTAGAAACTCAGAGCCTCACAGAACATGCTCCGAGGACTCCTCTTCTACCCCGCAGCGCTCTCACATGGGATCCTCAGCGACCCCAATCACATACAGGTCAACAGTCCCACCAACAACCTTAGATTAACTCTATCCAAAGATACGGAAAAGCGTCCATCCTTAGCACTATGCCCTAAGATGAGCTCTCATGCCTAACAGAGAGTAGTATATATGTAGATATCAGTTCCTCCGTTATTCTCCTGACTCTTTGCGCGGGCACCCCTAGGGCTGTCTCAGGTCCAACAAACATGCCCGCTGATCCTGTTATCGCAAGAGCGTCCGCTATATTACCCTTTATCCAAGCGTGCGCCGGTATCTGCATTAATATACCAGATTCCTCGCTGCGGCACTATCCAGAGAGTCCCTGCTCACAGGGCTCGACGTAATCTTTCATTGCAGCCTGGCTATCAGAGTAGATTGTTATTCTTCTCCTAGGCTCTTCCCTCTACAGAATGCGGGATACGCAAGACATAATCGCATAGATTTCCGCCTGAAAAATAGTAGTGAGAATCTAATTCTAGGCCCAAAGATCCTGAACCCGAGCCCTCCTTAGTAACCGAACTGACCGTGCCCACTTTCTTCAGAGACCTTCCGGCTTCCGAAATCCCACTCGACCCTCGTCGCAGACGCCATATTGAACTTGCGATTGAGGCGATACTTAGGAGTGATCAGGTCACCCCTGCTCAGAAGGACGGGATCTTGCCTTCCACTAAGATAAATCGTTTGCCCTTTAGCAGGATTAGTTGATGTTCAACCACTCCCGCCTCTCCGCAGATTACTAGATCCCATGGTGAGAGATCCAGCACAGTGAGAGTGGTTAAAATAATAAATTGTCTAACTACATGTAACCACCACCGTAACATCGTGCAACTTCCGCGCCGAGAATGTTACAGACAACTACAGGAGACCGCGACTCGGGAAAGCAACACACGACCTATCAACTTATTACCGACGAGTAAGTTCAAGTTGTTAGATGTCAGTATCATTGAACATCTATAAGGAATAAAACAATGTAATATCATCATTACTTGAAGAAAAGTTCCTAATGCACATTCTGAAGTCCTTATTTATATATTTCACAGCGACAATAATAGAATCCAAATCAAACACAACGTTCCCGAAATTTGATTTATGAGACGAGGTCTGTAAATTAAGTGATGAGACTGGCAACGTAGCGTTCGATCTGGCAACACTGGAGACGCCGGGCTAGGAGGAGAGACAGGGGAACATGTGATCCGTCTTCAGCACACGTTTAAACTTGTTCGAGTCATTTGGCTGAGTTGAGTGACATCAATTTCAAGCAACGGTGTACTCTCAGGTTTTGCTTCAGACCTGGGCAATGGACACTCTTGCTAATTATGCCTACGGAGATAGTGTCTTGTCAACAGCCCAGGTTTTTCGGTGGTTTAAGGCATTTTCAGAAGGGAGAGAGTCGATTGAAGATGAACCACGAACCGGAAGAGCTTCATCTGTGCGAACCGATAAAAATATCTTCAGAATAAGGGATCTTGTGCCTTCAGATCATCGGTTGACAGTCAGAATGATCGGAGGGAAGAGTTAAATTTGACCAACAACACCGTGCATCAAATCAAGAACAACTGGGTGTTGTATCACGATAATGCTCCTTGTCACACAGCAATGTCCATAAACGAGTTTTTGGCCAGTATAAACATTCATGTGGCTCCGCAGCCTCCTTATTCACCTAACTGAGACCTTGTGACTTTTTTCTCTTCCCAAAGTTGAAAAATCAGCTCAAGGGTCAGTCAAAAACTGCGACAAAATTTCCTTGTTTACATTTTTTACTTCGAAAACTTCAGCGGCAAACAAACACTCATTTGCTGTTATTTCAATTACACTATCTCTTAAAACGCAAGATCCATAATCAAGAAAAACTGTCGAGTACTGGATATTATTTGTACAAGCCTACACTATAATACCAGTAATTAATTTTTCTATTCATCTGCTTGTCTGTTGGCTTTTTCGGTTAGTTTCGGTGAGAGCATGTCTTTTATATAATATAAAATCGCATATTTTTGAATAGCCAGAAAAATCTTTACAAATGATTGATGAATGATTTTGTATATTGAAAAATAAATAAAAATCATTGTATTTATTCTTATTTTTAATCTTGCCTAACTCTCCATCTTAATGAAGGTGCTTCAGCAGAATAATATCACGAGTCTTTCCACAAGTCTAATCATCTCTCCAAACCGTCTCAACATCATCAGTCCTATACCGCTGCGTAATAGTACAATCCTCCCACTTCATCTGAACACCAGCCTTGAACATTTCTGCACCAGCATGTGCTATCATGACACCATTATCAATGCAAAATCGCTCGTCAGTCGCGAACAGTTTGGCCCCTCTCTCTTTGCACATCTCACCCATCATTTCCTGTAGGCGGAGGTTACAGCCTGTAAACCATAATAGGTCAATTCAGATTTTTTACCTCAAAACACACTTATTACAAAGCAAAATTGATCACGCCCATGATTTACTTTACTACACTGTAAATTATTACCGTCTCAACAAAGGATCAGTATAATCTCAATTTTACTATTGTCATTATTTTCAGGATAAAACAATGTGATAGGCTCGCCCGATTATTGCAATATAAAATATAAAACACTGAAAATCAAATTGATCTTTATTTTAGTTTGAACTTTGAGTTACTGTAAATCCTGAAGCAATTTTATGTGGAAAAAATATTCATCATGACCCAGTATATTGAATAGTCATTAGGGTTGATTGTTTCCAAGCCTTTAAAGTGTGTTTGTGGCCATTTGCGAAAAATACAACCAGTATAGGTTACAAAATGGACAAAAAGCTATTGAGTGGTGAAATATCAAGCAAATTTCGTGTTTCTTATAATTTCGCGTTACTTTGGGTATCAATTCTGTGATCTACGCTCAAACGAGTTATGAAGAATTTATGCGAGATAGATAAATATGCTTTATTGTCTGAAGAATACAATCATTCTTAATGACAAAGCTAACTTTGAACTATAATATAATTATATAAGTGAATCTTAATTGAATTGTAGAACTCACACAAGGGATAATATGGATTACATATATAAAAGTTTTCAAGTTAACAGAGGAATATCTTTAAATTGTTAATTTCTTTCACTGCATCAATTATTGACACTTTCACAAGTGTTGGCTTAGGTACTACTAATTTGATATCTACAATGAACAATGATAAGACAGTCATTATTTTAATATTTACAAATAAAGGTATGCATGTTGTTCTAGGATGGGTTTTAGTTATACATGTAATAGTTCGTTTTTGTAGGATAAGCGCCTTTTTAAATAATTTTGGGAACACACAAGGCTAAGTACCTACTTCAGGCTGTGCTTTTCCCTACATTGTAAGTAATCGTTTTTATAATGAAGGAAATCTTTGATATTTGAATAAGGTAATTTGTCTACATGATTGATAAAATCTAATTTATGATCCATGGTCAGTCCCAAAATTTTGATGGTTACAACTTTTCCCGTTTCGACTTTTGAGAGAAATTGCCTTACGGCTTTGTCGAAAGAAAGTGTGATTACACTTTCATAGGTCTTCTCCCATAAATGCGAGGATTGATTGCAGCAATTAATAGCATTTTCATAGGTAACATTTATGAGACAAACTGTTTTGTCAAGCGCTCAAAATACTGATTCCTCTTCAACTTAGGGACATTTTGCTCCTCTCCAATATCAATATTCAACCAGATTTTGATAATCATTATGACTATATCCGGAAATAGTTGAGAAAAAATTACAAATCGACGTTATGTGTGAAGGTGAAAATACTAAATTTAAATCAACCCCATTCTGACCGCCATCTTTTATTTGAGCAGCGCCATCTCTACGACGCGCCCCTCGCTAATTCATTCATAAATAGCAGTTTTTTACGTAAAATCCCATATCCTATGAAGTTTCCATAGTGCTGTATGCAAATATGAATTCTTACCTACACCACCAACAATTAATACTTCTGTAGAACCGCAGTGAGCTAATGCTCTTTCTGTTGTTTCTACTAACATTGCAAACACAGTTTCTTGCATAGAAAAACATAAATCTTCTGGAGTATATCCGTCTTTTTTCAACTTTCCTATCCTTTCTTCGATGTAAGTCAAAATTCCAGAAAAGCTGACATCCATACCTAAACCAATGTTTATATGAAGATCAAAAAATGGAAAGCAAGAAAGATTAGTTCAAATTTAAGAATCCCCTCATATGAAAATCTGACCAGCTGAACTGACATTTTTTTATCTTGTAAAGGCAATGTTTTAGTAAGACGGATATTGTAGAGGGAGAGGATATGGTTGTCACCATTCAACCCAACCTAAACGTCTAATCCATATGCAAGTACTCCACATGGAATACACAATTATCGGTAGCCAAAATTTGATTATACTCTTTCTTGTATTTAAACGTTTTTAAAAGTTTTGTTATTTTTTTTGTACTTAACTTTAAGTGTCTGTTCAATTTTAATACAACTGGCTTGTGTAAGCACATTTTTTGTGATAACACGAATAAACTACTACTATTAATAATAATGAGGGGTCAATGTTGAACATCACTGAAAGTTAGCCCTCTTAGATTCGTGCCACTGTGCGAAGCCGCAGCAAATACACAGATTTTATTCCATTTCAACATCACCCTGTAACATTATCAGAAAAATATCATTATTCATTTGTGTTACAAACCTTTAACACAGTATGGTAATGGGACATACTTCTTCCCCTTTTTAGCCAACTGTTCAATGTTATATCCTGGACTAGGGTCATTGGAAACTTTTAATACCCTTGCAAATCGATCTAAACAGTTTCCAACTGCTATGTCAATGGTCTCACCAAATATTCTATATCTCTTTCTTGAATAAGCTATTATTTGAGTATTCCCACCACTAACATAAAGAACTGTTGGATTTTTGGCACCTGTTATTAAACGTCCCATTTCAATGTGCCCTTAAAAATAATACATTTATAAATAGATTTATCCGTTTCAATAGTCTGCTGGTTTTTTTAACCGAAGCAGCCGCGCAGCCAGAAGCCTAAATGCCAGGACACCGCGGCTGTTATGATAATCTCAAAGAATCTTTGTTATTCCGATTTCTGAACTGTCTAATGTTGGTAGAACTGGAAAAAGCCTCCTCTTATAGATTGTTCCATAATCTTGACACCTTAGGGACAAAGGAGCGGTCGTATCGGTCAGTTCTGGATATACAAAGTTCGACACGGTTAGGATGGAAGGCCGAAGTCAGGCAGGTCTGTATGGCAGGCACATCGAGCGGCGGCATCATGGAAGAGAGCTAAATTGCCGACGGCCCGTCTGTGCTAAAGGATTCCAAACTCAGTCAAAGAAGAGTTATTGATAAGTCATGTGAGTAGTAGTCGAAGCTAGATCCTATCTCCTGTCTGGGCCTTGTATAATAAAAAAAAGCAGAGACGGTGGTGGCAGACAGATTTATTTAGAGGAAGAGATGTAAATGGTGATGCGACATTAACGAGTATCTTAAAAAACAAAGAGCTGGTGCCACAGATCATGTTTCTTGATTTTTTAATACCCGTAGTATTATAACAAGAATAAATAGTACCGTTGGCGCCATCTGTGGGGACCGCGCCTGACTCTCCTACTCGCCAGCTGCTTCATGGCCGATCTCTGTTGGGGACTGAGCCAGTCCCTTCGGTGACGACATCTGTTGATGACCATGCCAGTGACTCGCCTTCTAGATCGAAGCGAAGTGACCTCGAATATTCTAGACTTCCGCTTTGTGGCTCGCCGGACTCTTCCCGGCACGCGATGCGGACTATATAACTCGACGGCCAGGAGAGGGAAGCAGAGTAGAGTACAGTAGAGCAGAGTGGAGTATAGTTCATAAGAATTAGTCAGACATAAATAGTGGTGTACATAAATCTACTCAACTTGAATAAATTAGTGCATTTCTTCTCCACCCAATAGCACCCAGACAAACGCTACAGTATACTTTTAGTATGACATAAATCAATAAAAAATAAGGTTTTCTGATCAGACCACTGGAAGAATACCTTGTGTTCAGAGCTCTATCTCAATTAATAAAATAAGAAGACTCCAGAGACTGTGCTCAAAGACAAACTAGTTGCCACATGTACTGACTTGTAATTTAACCATCAAAGGGATTTGTCAAAAGACCGATAGTCCAGTGGAGCACGATGATCGACGTGAGCAGATCTGTTCGGCACTCGCTTTGGTGATTCACTAGCGAATGTATTGTGTTACATTACATTACTTTGCGATTCTGGCTTGTGTGAGATACACGAGAGCATTCTGGAGGAGGGTGGGCCTAGGAGAAGAATAACAATCTTATCCGACAGCCAGGCTGCAATGAAGGCACTAAGTGCCTGTAAGATTACTTCGAGTCTTGTATACGCTCTGGATTGCCTCGCAGCGAGGCATTCGGCATCGTTAATGTGGGTACTGGGGCATGCTGGGATAAGGGACAATGAGACGGCAGACACTCTGGCGAAGACAGAATCAGCCAGCAAGCTCGTTGGTTCTGAGCAAACTCTAGGAGTGCCCGCACATAGAGTTAGGAGGAAAAAGGAGATGTGGATTGCAAGACAACACTCTCAGAAATAGAGAAGTATCTTCAGACATCTCCGCCAGGCATGGGAACTCATTGAAGGGCCCAGTGCTAAGGATGGACGTTTCTACCTATCTCTGGAGAGAGCCAATCTAAGGTTGCTGGTGGTACTGTTGTCTGGCCATAATACATTAAGGCGCCACCTGCACGTGATGTGGCTGAGGATCCCTCGGGGCACGTTTTGTGTCATTTTTTCATCAAAAACGACTGGTGTAGTAAAGCTAGTGAATTACCGATATTTGCTCTTAAATAAACATATTACTTACCAATGCAATGATTAACACCTAACAGAGGCTTATTCCACAACTGAGCAACTGTTCTAGCTACCACTGCTACTGTAGCCAATGGAGCTCCCATTCCAGGTCCCTTAGTATAACAAATTACGTCAACATCTTGCGGCTTCACTCCAGCCCCTTCTAAGGCTTCTTTCAGGACACTCAACACATGTTCTCTGTGGTGCTGAGCTGTCTCTTTAGGCAAGAACCCTTCACCGGCTGGAGTGATATAAGTTCTTCTGCAATTTGACAGAATTTCTCCATCTCTCACAACGCCTATGCCTAATTTATTGGCGCTCCCTTCAAAGCCTAAAGCCACTGCCATTTACCCAAAATCAATACACGTTGCTGTAATATTTCAAATTTGAATTTTGAACTGTTTTTAGGTTAGGTTATTGTTTACATACTGTCAAAAGTATAACTATGTTCAACGTCAAAAGGTCAAAAGTTCGAATTGGCAAAAGATATATAGTGCTGTACCCTGTACCTACGAACATGTCCACTGCCAGCATCTGAATCGACAAGACCATGAGACTGCAGTCCTCTTAACATAATTTAAGAAAGAAGAAATATAAGGAGAATCGAAACAAAATTTCCCGCATTTCATGGAGAAGCTTGTGTATTTTTTTCCTTTCTTCCTTTTAAGAGAACTATAATTTGTCTTGTGTCATTTTTTCATGATTATCTAGCCACCAGATAATAAGATCGAATTCAACACGATTCAGTAGCGGATAAATCACGTTCTATACTGTGTGGTATGTACAACGTGACCATTTATTTCATTGAGTCAAACCAGGACTCCGTTTATTCACGTAAATCGGTAGATTCGTCAAATTTCTGTCTCGGCAGGTTGTCGGTGGGCTGGGTGTCAACGATTGTGCGTACTTGAAGTCTAGCCCCCTAATGGCCTATTTTCCCTCGGTTTACGAAACATGGACAATTTTGCGTTCCCAGGTTTTCGTCGAGGACATCAATAACCCTTATTACGTAATATCAAAGAATCGGTAAAATGTTAACTTGTCATATTGCTAGTTCAAAGGTGACATTTTATGGGAAAACGTACATAATGTCATGAAATATCTATATACTGTCACTTTTTAAGTTACATAATACGACCAAGGGTCTGAGAACCAAAAAAACACGGGGCCAGTTAAATGATGCAAGATGTACAATACTCAAATACTTATTTAATTAGTTGAAAGAATAATCTGATGTTTAATATTCTGAGAAAAAAGTAACAAGAAACATCTCATCCACTCTTTTCCCTTTAAAAAGTGATCGTTGCTAATTCCTCTATTCAACACTGCATGGAATGTACCATTCCCCAGACGCATTGTCTTTACTCTATAAGTTCATCTACTGAAAAAATATTTTCTCAATGAAATTTTATTAATTTCCACATAAAATTTTGGATCAGGTAACCAGATTCTCTCTTACAACATTTCATTTTATTGAAAAGTGCCCCTGACCATTCTGACACGGTCTCAAGAACCAGCAGTGCGGTACTAATAAGTTTGCTTTGTTTCTAGTATCATGTCGATGAGTATCCTCACGAGCTAAGTAATTATCGTTCCTGGTGTACAACAGATTTTCTAATACGTGCGGGGATGATGGTAACGCAAGAAAAAATATGATAAACAACATTACAACAAGTAAAACATGTCGCTTTTTTGACAATGCGACCTTTAACTGTACTATTACTGCACCACATGCACATGTCATATACAGGTTGATTCTTCAATCAACGAGTTCCAGCGATGCAATGTTCATCTTGATCTTGCACCGATGTGTAATATACAGACAAACACAACATTGATGGGTCGGATTTGACATCCGAAATCGATGGATTAGCAGCTCGGCGCGCGAACACTTCCGTTTACCCAGCCGACATCAGCACTCTATATTTTATGACAGATCATCAGCAAATGTCAAAATATGGTGTGGTTGATCAATAATCAAATCCAAGCGAATAACCAAAATTTCTGTGTTATGTGCCGCGGTTATAATATGGTTCAAGATGACACACGGGTTGATGACGTCAGTTACACGAATCGCTTGAACGCGTTGGTTTTAACCGCGGTTTTGTTGCAAGTTGTTTATTTTAGAAAAGTGCGTATATAATCTCTGATTATTTTTATTATCACTTAATAATCGGTTCTTTTTCGTCTACAACTGTGTATGGAAAGTTTAAATAAGAAACCTTTCATAATATTCATGGGAGAAATGTGTTTTCAGATTTTTTTTTAATGATGGAACCATGGCTTTGTAGCTATGATAACTTTCAATTCTCTAAATTTTTCCGCATGTCAAAGAAAACATTTATTGATTCAGCAGAAATGATGAAAAAAGAAATCAGCAAGACCGTATACAGGTGGATATCATCTAGTCAGTTTATATGGCCATATTTTAATATTCTTGTGGTATATGGCTACACAGGATACTTTGTTAAGCTTAGGAACTACATTTAAAGTGTCCCCAACAACCGTAATGAGTATAACTAATAAGGTGCTCCACGTTATGGTAAAACTGAAGTCAGCCTGTATTATTTTTCTCAAAAATGAAGCTGAAGTACAATAACAATATCCAATACCCGGCAAAATTCTAACTTGTCACATTTCAAATAATAACCAGAAATATAAAACTACTCTTGAGTTGGGTAAATACCACAATTTTGCGGTGATAACTATGACATATAACAGCTGATTCGTGACGTCACGGATCTTATAACCAAACTGATAACTACACTCGCTTGAACGGTTTGGTAAATACCAACCCAAAATGGTAAATACCATTTCCATTTGGTTATCCGCTTGAATTTGATTAATGTTTACGTTCTGTGGTGATAGGATAGGTTATGTAAATGTCAAAATTAATTTACCAGTTTTGTTCAATTTTTAGAAAAAAGGAAACATGAGTTTATTAACGTCCTCCACAAAGTTGTCTAGAATATTAAGTGTTCCAAGAAACATCATTTTAAGGAACATCGCTTTAACTGCACCAAATAATTTTCATGCTAGTCAAGTTCTGCTTGCAGAACCCCTCAAGAAAAAAAAGAGACTTGACCCGGCGGTCGTCAGAGCCAGAGAAGAAAGGAAAAAAAAGAAGATCGAGAAGCAGATTCGACGTTTAGAGAAAAATGCAAGACAGCTGAAGCCCATTGAAGAGTGTCAATTACCACTACAGGTATCAGACAATGTAGAAAAGAGGCAGAGAGTACTGCCACCACTTTCTTCAGAACTTCTTGAAAAGAGAGTTATGTTGATGAAGAAATGGTCTCAGTTCAAGCATGCAGAACATTTGAAAGACCTACAGATTTTAGATAAACTAGTGTACAATCAGCAGAAGGCTTTGGATGAGTTGCAAAAGGAATCACCTGAATTGTACTATCAAGCTATACAGTTCGATTTCCAATTGATGAATTTCACATGTCAAGGCCCTGTTGAAACACCACCCATTGTGGGATATGATGTACCAGATGGAGACTATCAAGATAAAACAAAAAAGTGGTGAATTATACTAATCGTTGGCTCAAGAGTCAATGTTTATGTTCAGTTGTTTTTTTTTATTTTATAATATGTGAAGTACCAATATGTTTTGTAAATATATCAATCATGTAACCTTAGGTTCAAATAAAAGGACAGATTGAAAAGATTTGGTGTAATTTAATCACAGACATTTTGAACATATTAAAATCATTATTAATCCATGAAAAAATTTCAATATCTTGAAATGATAGTGATTTATATAACTTGAACTGTGGTCATTGTTGTCTAAATAACCAGCTAAGTGAGAAATGCTTCAACCTTTAGTTGGGTTCTTCAACAAAATTAGAGCAGTGTACTCGTATTACTTTATTTTCTCTAGCTTTTGATGGACTTTGCCACCAACATCAGGAGAACAGTTGGTGAGATTGTTGCTAAATATTATTAACCAAGTTAATGAGAACACTTAATACCCTGATGAAAGCTGGATCCATGGAAGCAGACAAAAAATTTTGTAAAATACTATGTGTCAGAAAAACATCCAAACAGATTAAAAAAGATTGTTATTTTTTTTTTAAACAGCAGATTGTTTCTCATGATGTGATATCAAACAAAATTAACAATCAATCCATAAGTTTTGGATCCATTGTGATGTTTTTCTGATACATAGCTTTGTGTATTTTAGAAAATTTTAACAACTGCTACCCTGCATACAGCTTTCATCAGGCTACTAAGTGTTCTCATTAACTTGGTTAATAATAACATTTAGCAACACTCTCACCTACTGTTCTCCTGATGATGAGAAAGTTAATCAAAAGCTAGTGGAAATAAAGTAATAAGAGTACCCTTTGCTCTAATTTTGTTGATGTACCCAACTAAATGCTGAAAAATTTTTCACCTAACTATATATATATATGTATCGCTTTACACTTATTACAGTCAGTTAGTTTCAGTAATATCAGTGACTCTTCTAGTTTTATCCAATTGTTCTGCCATGGTTCCTGGCAATATGCCTTTTAAGATTACTAGTATCACAAAATGCCTTACAACAGTAATTGCAAACGAAAGGCATTAAGCCAGTATGTTGTCTCATATGGATAGTAAGGACACTCTTGTAACCAAATGATTTTCCACAAATAGAGCATACATGTGGCTTCTCACCAGTGTGGGATCTGAGGTGATCTTTCAAATGATTTGACTGTGTAAATGCCTTATTACATATAGTGCATTTGAAGGGCCGTTCACCAGTGTGAATAAGAATATGGTTGTTCAATCCACTTTTTTGGAGGAACTGTTTGTTACAATATGAACAATGATATGGTTTATGCCCTGTATGAGTCCTTACATGCATCTCAAGATATGCTTTGATAGCAAACTTTTTCTCACATAAGTTACATTGGAATTTCTTCTCATCACTGTGTATTAAGAGGTGATTATCCAAGCAAGATTTTTGACCTCCCCAGAGACAAATTGATATTTGATTTGGAACCGCCGACTGGAAAAACATATATGACACGCGTTTGGACTCGAATTCTAGACTTATTGAAGTGACCTTTGAATGGCATCAAAGATCTCAGATTCGGGCAGTAACCAGGAAAACCTAAATGACATGTGGTTGGGTCCAACTACTCAGCTTCTTTTGACAATGTCCTTGATATTTGATATGACCTTGAAGTTACCTTCAAATTTGAAATCAGCGCTCAAAAACCCCTGTACAGGTAGCAGCGGTGGCCGCAGTGATAGACGCTTCGTCTCCTAATCAATCGCCGTGCGCTGCGAGGGTTCTAATCCCGTCCCAAGAGAAATTTTTCTCTTGCTATGGATGTTGTGATTGTCCGTATGTATATTCCCCTATAGCCCCACGGTACCCCATGGGTGTTTAGGCCTTCGTGGTAGCTGCAGTATAACAAAAAACGTAGAAATGGTATTTTTGTCAGTTTCTTGGTGTTCTGAACCACTATGGGACGTAATTAAACACTATTCATGCTTTTGGTTATACATACTCCTATCTTACGATCATTTTTAGAAGTGGAGGACCACTGGTCACATTTCATATTGATGTTTGACCCTATTTATCGTAGACGAATTCAACTATAGGTACCTATCACGGATTTGTTCAAGGTTGCACTAGAAAGGTATTGTTTTATCCCAGTTTTGGTGACGAGGGGAATAGATTTTAAAGCTTTGCAGAATTTATAAAATAAATAATCAAAAAACCTGGTTCTTTTAAAACATATATGTTTATTTCTACACATCTTGTGAAGTTTCAAAATCGCTGTCTGCATTACTTTCATTTTCGCTCTCGGTTTCCATTTTTTCTTCTTGCTTAATTTCTTTTTTCAGACTCCCTAACCTCTCAATATACCTCAGTGTATACTTATTATGATCGCATATTTTTGACAACTGTTCATATTTCCTAATCATACTCTTTTCTAAACTCAGTAGGGCGGGAAGATTCTGTTGAACATTTATTTTCGGAAGATGCAACGTCAAAATCTGCTGAGCCCAGCAAATGTAATACTCCAAGTGTCTTGAATTATCTATGAAGCCTGAGATGATCAGTATGAGTCTTTTGATATAGTCTTCTGTAAGATCCAATATAACCAGTTCTATGTCTTTAACAGGGATTTTCTCGATGGTCTCTTGTATTAGGGCTGCTTCATTCAGCTTCATGGCCATGGCTAGAGCTTCAATGTGATTTCCTTCCCTAGTTGCATTTCTTACTGCTTCGGGTGTGATACCTGTCACAATATGAATATACATATATTTAGCTCGGGGTATTTAACTGGGCTATTTGTACAGAATAGGAATCAATCAATATTGCATTCGAAATTATTAACAACAAATAGAGAATATGCAAGACATCGTTGAAATATCATACAAGGAACTTTATCACAAAAATTTCATTTTCATTCAATGTTGAAGTGGATAGTGTTTTTTTTTTCATAACGGTTTTGAGTCACCAAATACCATTTATGATGATATATTATTACACTTATAGCTTTATAGCACGCATCGTATAATACTTGGATCGTGCCATAAACGTTAAATTTCATCCAATTCGATCACCTGTTTCCGAGAGTAAAATAATAAGTGATATGGATTTTCGGGTTGTGGAACATCGCAATACGTGTAATTTGAAATTCTAAAATGTTCGCAATTACACTCCCACTCCCTCATGTGTGGGGAAGTAAAAGAGAAGAAAAGCAAATATTTATTTGTCCGTCTTGGACTGTTAATTATTGTAAACATCAATAGTTAGTTAATTCGTAACTACAACAAATTCAAATCAGATTTACGCCCCGAAAAACAAACACCAGCGCGTGACGTCAAATTTGCGCGTTACTAACTACATGGGTCGGCTGAGACGATCAAGGGCTCAAGTTTGTTTTAACGCCGAGTAAATGCGGTTGGTGGAATACACTTTATTTATTCCTATTATTTCAAGTTTTGGTTTATTTTGCGAAAAATATCTTTTTTAGTCTCTCAGGAACAAGCTTTGCTACTGGTAATATTTTTTGACATTCAATCTTTTTAATGAAATGGAACACATACCAAACTTGTGCCATATGCGGTATATACTGGTATATAAAGTGGTTGATTTGCTGCTTCATGTCCGCTGGATACGACCCCTGGTATCATAAACATCAACGAGCGGGCCGTTATGTCAAAAAAAAATGACCGCAAGTATGAAAAATGTTTAAAATATGACAGGTCAGATCTTACCTATTCTAAGTTGCCACGGATCAAATACAAGCCCAGCATTTAGTGAGTACACCAGTAGGCCTTCTGTAGTGGCGGCCGCCCAGTGTTGACCTGTAGGTGCAAACTGTAGAGAGTACACCCTAACTTCTGGTTTGAAAACTCGGCTTGCCATGTCACCTTTACGAACACCTGGAAAAGCAAATTAAAAATGAGATTTATTATCTTGAAACTTCCGCATCCGAAATAAACAATAAATATTTTCCAAATACAACATATAAATGATGATTTTTACCTGGAAGTTTTATTTGTACTTTTCCTCCCTCTTTCTCCTCCCGTTCCTCGACGAGGGCGATGTTTCCAAACTCCGTCAATTTCCTCCTATTAATAAAATCATCAACGGCATCTAACGAGTGATTTTGTGTGATTTCAAATTTCTTTAAAAGTAACGCTTCTTTGACATAGTAGATGCAGACATTCTTGGAGTGCCCACCCGCCAGTAGATACTCGCCGTCCGCCGAGTAGCAAAGACTAGTGAAGCACTTGGCCTGCAGAGTTTTCTTTGCTGTTATTAGGTCAGTATCCGAACGGCCACTACCCAAATCGTTTCTACCTGAAATCATTAAAAATTGGAGATCGACCAATACCTATATGTATATCTGGATCCGGATTTGTCGATATATGAATCGGCCAATATGACGATCCATATTCTGATATAGGCTGACCGATATAGATTACAAAGTTAAAAACGTTCAATATCAATGAATTGAAGACAAACACTACTTTTGTTACATGTATAAAAAAATGAAGTAGCTAGAATCTATACATCGTTTGAGGTTCCAAAGAAAAGGGATGAGTCAAATTGTTTCAAAGGATGATGATGAATCTTCGAACTCTGCATATCAAACTCTATAAAGCAAATCTATCATATTTTTAATTCCATGGCAGATGTAGGGAAAATATGTGTGACTTATTATGTCTAACAGGTGCATAGTATCACTGGGATCACCAGCTTCTTAATAATAGAGACGGTCTTTCACTGACACCAAATGTGCAACATTTCCCACCTATAATTTTCATCCCCTCCAAACAATGTCTGAAAATGAGCAGGAGTCTCTGAAACGTTGTAAAACTATGTGCCAGCGATTTTATTTCCGCCGCCTCTCTGTATTGCGTAATGGTATTTATTACATTTTCCAACCGCTCGGTGTCGCAAAATGTAAGAATTACTCAGGATGTGCTGATTATATTACCATCGGTGGAAATCAAAGATAATTCTAAAATAAATTAAAACACTAAGTCGCGTCAAAGTTAAAATAAATAATTCTAATCAAAATGAAAACAAAATTTTAAATCAAATGTTTGAACAGAGCCCCTTCTTGGGTTTGACAGTCACCTAACCTATTGTAGAAGCCTGCGCAAGCACTTTCTGGTGTAACATATTGACATCGCGGCAGATTGCACGACCTATCTCTTTCTAACATGTGTTAAATGATGCACACTGATGGAACAGGCGTATCGCGAATTCATTGCGGCTAGAATGAGAAACGAGAAGGATAGCGCTAGTCAGGGCAAAACATCGTGGTCCATTGTGGTATTTCCATATATGTTCTAAGGATTTTTGATGAATGATTATTTTTAGTGACGTTAAAGATTAATAGTGATAGTTTGCGACAATTATTATAAACATATTTATGCCGCACAGCCTTCAAGAGCTGTTGTTTTATGTGATATTTGTTTAACAATGGTTGAATCTTGCAGTGCGGTGAATTGTTGCAATAGACGCAGAAAAGATGTGAAAATGAAGTTTCACAGGTTGGTTTTAATCATCTCATTCATTTTTGTGTGAGAATGACCTGTTAATTGGTAATTCGAGAAAATATCTGGATTTTTAGGATACCTACAGATCCTAACATGAGGAAGTTGTGGTTACATGCTATAAGAAGAGAAAACTACTCCTAGTACAACAACGGTAATTTGTGAAAAGCATTTCACTCCAGAGGATTATGAAGTTAGTGTTCATGGAAATAAGGTACTAAAAAAGGTGGCAGTTCCATCTGTGTTTGATTTTCCAGCCCATCTCAAGAAAGAACATACTTACATATATATATACATATATATATATATATAATATATATATATATATATATATATATATATATGTATATAAGGATTTTTTCTTTGTACACTTTAACCTCTACCAAACTGGACGTGTTCTCACTACATTTAGTGTTGACAGCTACAGTACTATAAAAATAAATTTAAATGTGCATAAATACTATTTGGAGCGTTACAAAGATATACAGGGTGACTTCGAAGTTGAGTCATTTATTTTAACAGTGAGTAGTTCTGATCAAAAGAAATGTTTTTTTCCTTTACCATTTTTCTGGTAAAATTAAAGTAACGAAGTTATAGCCCTTTGGAAGTTTGAGTACCGCCCTGTCTCAATAATAATATCATGTGCTCGTGTTTGGCAACAACGGATATAATCCGCGTTATCGGTTCATCGCATCGGAAACAAAAAAGCGAAAGAATTTGGAACGATGTTTTTACAATTATTTTATTCAGTTCAGTTACACATACAGTCAGTGTCAGTCGGTAACGCGAGTGAATAGTGTCTGTTGCGTGGCTCAAACGAAATAAAAAATGGCACATGTTTATGCGGATCGGTTTCCCAATCGAGTGCAACCAACCCCGTGCCTTCGTTAATGTAGTACAACGGGCTCGTGAATCAGGTGACTTAAGACCTCACAGAAGACCTCACGATCAAATACAGGTCCGCACTGAAATACTTGTCGGGAGGATACTTTATAAAACAAGGTAAACATTTTTTTTTATTTTTTTTTATTTTTACACACATATTTTGGTTTCTTCCTTCTACAATCATTATCTGAAAATTAATGACTCAACTTCAAAGTCACCCTGGATAGAAAATAACATGTATTTATTGTGATATTTCTTAGATCACTTATTTTTTTATATGTAAGATATAGCATATTAGAGCAGTTAAGTTAATTATAAGCAGGCATGTAATCTCTTTGCTATCTGAATTATTAATTACTTATGTTAAATACTAATTTTTATATCTTCAAATGTGTAAAGGAGAATTTATTGTCAAGTTTCATACATATGTATATATAAATAAATAAACTTGGTTTTTTAATTATAATTACGTTTCCAGGATTTTATCTTGTTCCAGTTGCCTGAATAACTTTTAAATCTTATCGAAGAATCCTCGGTTTCCTATGCAATTCATTCAGGTCCGCGCGCTTTTTGCCCTGACTAGCTCCATCTCTCTCTCGGACCTCTTTGTCGTATGTTGGCCGCATTATCGTTTCATTGTACAAATGGGACGGGGAGATTCCATCAGTGTTGACAGTTCAATGTGCACACATACACGATACACATTTCTCGCGCTTCTCTCTCGGACGCAATGAACTCAAGCCGTCAGACAAATTTGGTTTCCTCTGTATATGTACGTTGTGTGTGTAGCCATCAGTATACTTGTTTCCGGCCCGCGCACCCACCCGAATGAATATACACTTGATTATCTACAGAAAAAAACCAACGGCCGATAACGCCGATATATCGGCCTCTCATATATAGGTATCGGCGAACATCCTATATCGGCCAGTCTATTAAAAATAGTATTTCAAATTCATATTGTTGTCAATTTTGTCAAAAGATCTAACAAGGTCAACAATGACCTGTTTTAGTGTTAATCATGCTGCTAAAAATGGCTAAGATACCTAATTGCCCCAACACTACTGCTATTAACGCAATTGCTATGCGATAACACATTTTAAGCGACTAGAGGAGTGCCGGAAACTAGGTGGTTATCTTTCATGGAAAATTACACCTACCTTCTATCGAATATAATTGTGCAGCAGTTTTTATATGAAACACCGAAATCTGACCGTCCAACGTAGCTACAGCCACTTCTTGTCCATCAGGTTTGTAAGCTACGCAAGTGCCATCTGCTATAAGCTCTATAGCCTCATGTGCAGAGCCCCTATAAAAATAATTATAAATACGAAACACTTACTAGCTTTTATGATCAATTTCTTTTTCAATAGAAAGAAAACGCTGTACAGTGATGCTGGCTCTATACAAGCATGGTTATGCATACTTATTGTCTTTTTCACGAGTATCCGTTACGGTAGAATAACAGCTGATTATTCAGTAATATTTCAAAATTACCCATATCAACAAATGACACATAATTCTGACGGATCCGTCACAGCCAGATAGACAGAGCTGTATATTGTCTTGGTTTTTTCTACACTACAGATTCATTTTGTACTTGCGCTACCTTTTTATTTGGAAAAGTTCATTTACAAAGAAGTTTTACTTGTTTTGCACCCGATTCATTATTGCCAACGTTACGGTACGGAATAATACAAAGATGTCACTTGTTGATCAGCTGCCAGCTCAGTAGACGTCAAAACGTGATGGATACTCGTGGAATAGGGTTTATTTTTTTAATGGAACGTTATTTTTTGGGCACGTTGTTACACTGCTATGAAAATATAACCAACAAATAATAACAGAAATTCTAACAAACTTCTGTATGAACATTTGAAAGTACGTCAAAATAATAACAAAAAAAGTTCCTATAAAATAGGTCTTAAGATGTCGCATTATCATAAGATACCATCTGTAAATTTATACGCTACTGACGAGATTAAATAAGTGCAAAACATGAACATTGTTTAACTGTTCCATTAAATTGCCTAAAATGAAAATACTAACAGATTAATTCCTTATATGTACATAGTTATATTATGCTATGATAAATATCTTATTCTGTACTACGAACGAATCTACAGACTTATGTTCATTTTAAATTAAGTGAGAAGCCATGGAACCTGCTGGAACATTCTGTAGGTCTACTTAAAACCATAATAATTCAAAAAATACACACATCACATTTTATATTTGGATTTGAGTATTTCGCAGTGACAATAACAGACTTCCTCTAAACATACTATGCCAGTCAATCTCAATACAGAACAGCATCTTTAGACAGTATTCTTGGTAAATTTATATTGGTTACAAATTTAAAACCGTCAAACCAAGAAAATAGATAATCTATCAATAAGAATGAAATATCTCATATAATTTATTTACTTCTCAATAGCGTCCCAGGTCTTCAACGTTTTATCCCAAGAAACTGACACCAAGGTGGTATTGCTGATGATGGGGCTAAAAGTGAGGCTAGAAACAGGACCTTCGTGACCTGCTAATACTTCAAGCAGTCTGCCCGTTTTGACTGACCACAAACAGATCTCGAAGACGTCTTGACCGCCTGCTGCCACGAATTCCCCGCTACTGTCCACCGAGACACACGAGAACTGAACTGGCTTCGTCGATGTGAAAGTGCGGAAGTTTCGGTACCTAGAATTCAAATGTATTTTAAATTAATACATATCTCTAAAAAAGTGATGTATAGTCAACGCCAAACAAAGTGGCGTGCACGTCATCAAGGTGGGTGTGTTGAAAAATTTACATTGTTGCCAAACGTTTTTTAAAATAATAAAATTTATTATTTACATATCTAGGTTTATAAGCAATATTAACCTCAAATGAGAACAAAAATAATAGTATAATAAAATTATAGATCTGTACTTGCATAATCATTAAGTATGACAATTATTGATCGGATGACACTATGAAACTACCATATTTAATTGATAGCTTAAAGGTACTGAATAAAAATCCAAATGGGGTCCTCCAAGTTTTATGCATGGTATTTATTTTACAGAATTCATACAGAAAAATGCATTCTAAAATTAGGTAAGCTACTGGTGTAAGCTGTTTCTGTACAATAAAGTTAGTCGGAGTTTCTTTCTTCAGCGCTGTCTGAATCTGAATCTTCATCACTCTCAAAGTTGATTATTAAAGGTTCGATGTCTGGTCGATCAAAAATTCGTTCTCTTTCATACCATTTAAAAATTTCTTGCTCAGTATGTCGAACACTATTTTTCCATATGTCTGGGGTAACCGTTTGTAGAGCCACATATCCAAACAGTCTTTTTCACTGTTACCATCTCTACCAATATGTCTGTTATAGTAACCTTTTGCTATGCCCCAAATTAACTCAATAGGGTTAAATATACAATGGTAAGGAGGCAGACGAAGAACTTTGTGCCCATGTTGTTCCGCCAATTCATCAATCACGTATATTTTAGGTGGTTTGTTTCTAAAAAAGCAGTTATTTTAAGAATAGGAATAAACAAAAGAAATATAAACTGTCGACCAAAATATATATAATTAAGAAGCATTATGTACCGAGCAACAATACTCAATAGCTCTGTTTTAAACATTGTGTTTAAAAATGGTATGTTTTGATTTGTCAACCAGTCTTGGATATTTTTTTTTGTCCATGCATTGTTGGGCACTTTGTTCAATATCATGCTGTGATAAGGGGCGTTATCCAGTATAATCATAGATGGACTCTCCAATTTTTCTAATAACTGATGTTGAAACCATTTCAAAAAATTGTCCTGGTTCATCTCTCCATGGTAATCGCTCAATTTTGTTTTCGAAGAAAATATCGCTTCACTACCCTCAATAAACCCATTTTCATTTCCAGCATGTAATATAATGTATCTAAAATATATTAGTTTTAAATTTTATAGTGCAAATTGTGTAAAAGTACATACCTTTTACCATCTGTTTTAATAGCTTTCACGCTTTTTTGGTTTCCATTTTGCCAAGAGCGACCTATGGTCCCATTTTGAAATATCCAAGTTTCATCGAGGAAGACAAACTGGTATAAGGCCTCAACCTTGGCTTGATTGTATTGCCTTAGAAATTCCACCCTTTTCAAAGCTATACTTGGTAGTTTCATGAGCCCTCGTCGCGGATTGTCCTTAAGCCACTTAAATCCAAGATCTCTAAGCAACCGCCTTAAAGACGTGGCACTACCATCAAATAATGCCCTATCTCTTAATCGAGACCATAAAGTTTGTATCGTAACTTTTTCTTCTGAAACCATGTGTAATATGACATTATAATTTAGTTAACAAATTAATGCAAATTTCTGATAAGTTATTATAATAAGATCTTACTTTTGTGATACATATGATAGATCACTTCTCGAATGGCACTTGTATCCAATGTCGCTGTGTTGGTTACACGTTTAATATAACTCCGCTTTTTCTTGGGCGATTCTAAATTTGCATCACTTTTCACACCCTCGGAAATACGACTAACTGTCCTTAAACTAATTTTTAAAGCAGCAGCAACACGCTACAAAAAATGAAATAAAATTTCACTATTATTAATATACATTACATATAATTATTAGTAACCTACCTCTTGAACAGCATTTAAAGGCAACAAAGGCCTGTTGTTGTCCCTTTCTTGCTCAAAGTAGTGCATTAACGAGGCCACGAGTTCCTTACACCGACTATTTAACTGTTTGGGCATCTTTATATACCAAAATTGCCTTTATCTACTCGTACAATGAATAATTTTGTTTTGAAACAAACAGTTGTTGATTTACAGTATGCGGGGCCAAAGGATTTATAAAGATTTGAAATGCCACAAATTGATTCAGTGTCAAAATTAATACAAATGTCAGTTCCCAGTTTAAATAAGTTTCAAGGTGACAATGTGTCAACGCTGCGAAATCGGTTTAGTGCGTTTACATGTCGATAAGTGATTGGAGCGTTTGCAAAACATTTTATTTCGCATAATGCGTCTAAATTTATCAGAAAGCAACTTATGTGATATTTTAATAACAATGTTTATATGACTATTAACCATAATAAGAGAGTAATGACCATTTTACAATTTATATATCACATTAATATGAAACTGCAATAGAGCAATTGTTTGTGATAGAAACCTAGGCATTAGGTCGGGGAATTTTTATCGTGATGACGTGCACGCCACTTTGTTTGGCGTTGACTATACTTAAAAGGTAATATAGCGCAAAGCGCCATCTATCACACCAGAATCAACCACTGCGAAAAGCGCATAGCTGCTATCAGTTCTGTACTCCAGAGCCAGACTAGGTTGAGTCCATTTTTGTCAGAAATGAGTTTAATATGTTAAGCTTATGATAATATTGTGAATTTTCATTTGCTACATTCAGCGTCTATCTATCTTTAATAATAAGAAAGGTACGACTTATTAACTCATATCAAGTCGTATTCAATACAATGCAAGAAATATATTTCATATATAATTATCTTTAAACTACTTATTTGGACTGAATCTAGCCTGGCTCTGAGCTACAGAGTTGGAACTGCTAGGGATCTCACCTCGCGTTTAATAGCCCAGTCTCCACGTGACCGCTAGATGGCTGAGATCCATAACAGTTCCAACTAATAGCAGCTATGCGCTTTCCGCAGTGGTCGAGTCTGGTGTGACAGATGGCGCCTTGCGCTGACTTACTTCAATAGACCGTACCTCTGGTGTCGAGGATAGTTACGATATTTTCATTCGTTCGTCCAGACATAAGAGACCAAGCCTAGATCATGCTGATGAGTAGCCAAGAAGCACGAAACAGCGGTCCATGATTGGCTGTCTTTTTGGTCGGACGGACGAAAGCATCATGTTTAGTTTACTAAAAATTAACCAAAACTCGGATTATGTTTTTTTTCAAAACCACTAGTCGAATTTGGAAAATTTTTGTTGTGAATACAATCCTGCTCCTGCAAGTGGTTCTGATAAAAGTATATTCCAATATTTTGATTACTTTTTGGTGTGATGTGTTATATCTATATTTTAATGCAAATAGTACTTGTTAAATGTCAAAGTATGATTACTGCCACAAGACAATCTAGATCACTATATTGGGGAATGGCTACATGTATGAAAAATTAAGAATATAACTGTATTATTAGCAGGTATGATGCATTTTATCCACGCTTTTCGTTCGTGTATTGGAACAAACGTATTCGAAATTTGTACAATGAAAAAGAACTGTTGAACTTCTCTATATTTGCTGCTGAAGGAATCAGCCAATAAAATTTACTATTAGAATGTGGTCTTTCAATTATGTCAAAATAACACTGTTTGAGAATAATACTTGTTTTCCTCTCATCTGACTGATGTTTAACCTCCATGGCAGAAGTAACCATGCCTTTAACGTCACAGCTTTGGCGCGAAATTTTACGTTTGAACTCTAGAGAGCAAGTTTTGACACTTTGTTCATTGAGGTATATTAAAACAGACAGAATACACTTTTTGGATGCAAAATATTGATATTCTGTCAAAATGGAAATTTTAAAACTACCCTATTTTCGCGCTCCAGCTTCTGGCCAATGGTAGCATGACAAATTATGTGATTAAGAGCCTGTGTTTGATCTGATGCGATATAACTACCATTTAAACAGGGTCTCATTTATGAATTTCCTGGCCATGCACTAAATTGAATTGAAGATAACTACGCTGCAATTTTTACAGACAAGCCCAAAGAAATCTTACCTCTTGAGGTCATAGGTCCTGACAGTTCCATCATAAGAGGCTGATACAACAAACCTCTTTGCTCCACTAATAGCTACATCACTGACTGCATTTGTATGTTCAGTAAATGTGACAAAGCAAAAACCAGAATGGATATTCCATAGTTTCACTTTACCATCCTCACCTCCTGTCACAATCATTTGCCCATCTCCGGAATAGCTGATACAGGACATGTTGCTTGAATGACCTTGCTGCTTCATTATGTATGTTTCACTCTGCCATTCCCATACCAACAGCTGACCTGAAAATTGCAAAAAGCCTGAAGCACTATTATTATATGTTTATACAATATAAACAATTTATTATAATATCCTACCTGATCCACCACAACCAAGTGCTATCCAATCACCTGTATCATTCAAAGAAATAGATTTGATCTTTTCATCAGAAATGCTCAGTGAATGTATTTGATTAACATCAGGCAACTCATGGATGAAAAACTCCCCAGTTGAGTACCCTGTCACCAATATTTTCAATGTTTTATGATATGCTGCAGATGTTAATAATGCATCTCTATTGTTTTTCCTTACTTCATCTGCAACAAAATGTTTTGCTACTCTTTTATAAAACATTTTGTTTTCTTTATTATTTGTATCATTAACTTCTAGTTGTTCTAAGGCTGCAACTGTTTCTTCTTCTGTCCTTTCTATACTATCTGCTATGTTAACATCATCTTCATCATCATCATTCTTTTTCTTCTTTTTATTCACTGGTATTTCATTCAAAGGTATCAGATCCTGAGGTTCTACAGTACTTTCCCAGATGCATAACTGCCCATTTCTACTGATTGTTGTTATATCATAAGAGCCCTCTTCAAAGAAGCAACCTACAATTCCTTCTGTATGACTACCAAGTGAGCACAACCTAAAGTTCTTCCATTTATCTAATGGATATAATTTTGTAGCCATATCTTTTGAGCCTACAGCAAGTATTTTAGAATCGCTTGACCAATCTAGGCATGTTGTTTCATCATAGGCTCCATGAAACACTCTTTCCATGACAAAGCCATTGTACTGGATATTCTTTGAATTAGGTGCCTTGAAGACGAAAACATTGTTTTCCTTGCAGACTGCGAAATGCTTACCATCAGGACTGAACTTGACAGCTCTAACTTTCCTCTTGAACTGATACCGATACACAACAGTTTGTGATATTAGACTGATAATATTGGCTTCTCCTACCTCATTGACAGTAAGAAGTGTGAATCCATCAGGGCTAAGACCTACAGCTTCGTAATTGTACCTGCTTTCTATAGGCAGTGTAGTGGATTTGTTATTGCGTAAATTAAAAATCGTGATTCTGTTTCCTACAGGGCTTATCACTGAATTGCCATCAGGTGTGAAGATTAAGTTTCCTTTTTTGTAGACTGTCCCTAACAGGTTATTCAATTTATAAGAGAACTTCATGATCAATTTTCTTCTCACACTTCGGGTATCACAATTTTAAATTCAAAAACACGTTGCCTCATGTCAAAACACAAATAAACTTCATAACCTAAAAAAATGATTGACTAGACTAGTGGCACAGGACAATAAGACATACACACTTCTGCTCAGTAGAAAAGCCGAGTATTCATGCACCATTTTCCTCCCTGTGAATTTTTTACATATTGTGTGTTGCGGAACACAGTGCAAATATTCTGAGGATTCCTCAATAGAGTTTGCTGCTACAAAGCATTAAAGTTTCCTTTATTGTTTCTCCATCATATCTGAAAGTATTTTAGATATTCGTAGTATCATTGAAGCAGATTCTAAATATCAGGCTACTGCCACATATACGACACTAAACTAATGAGATCTTGCGGTGGACCGCCTCGATCAGTTTTTGAGGAGACCCGCCGTAGAGCCGGTAGCCCGGCCAATCGAATGATTCGTTGAGCCACAGGTGTCTCGGATGTATATCTGGGACGACTGCAGCTCAATGGTCATCATGGGCAATGGTACTTTACCCAACCCAAGGTGTTAAGCGATTCCGTGCCGAGGGGTGCGTGGTTGTGGGGATGCACCATCTTAAGCGGAGCCTCTGGGACACCGGGCGACCTCCCAGAGTATCCAGCCTTGCGTCCGTGTAGGGGCACCGCGGACGTCGACCACCATTTCCCCTTTACTCGTGGGAACAATATGGAACACGAAAAAAAACCCCGAGGTCCCCCCTACGGGAACCCCGAACATCCAGGCGGCCCCTCACCAGGGGATCCTGATCGTACTCTGACAGAGGAATCTGTCAGAAACTTAGCGAGAGAGCTAGCGGAAAGAGTGGGCTCTCTAAAAATTAAGAAGTCTCGGCCAGGTTCCGAAAGGAAAAGGGCTCGGAAGCGGAGAGAGGCGCAGATGACGGAGGACTCGGAAGGTCGGGGCACCATTTCTGGGGCTCCGGCTGGACGGACCCAACCGCCATCTGGGCTAGATGGTGCGCAATCCGGTGTGTCAGCGGAGGCCCTAAAGCGGCCTGGCGACACAGGGGATGGGTCAGCCGGGGCAGCTCTCACTGGAACCACCGGAGGTCACGGACGTGGAGGCGGCGGGTCACAGCGGGATATCCGCAGAAAACATCGCGGCGGGCCCTGCAATGGATCTGGCCCTAGAGGGTAATGATAGCGACTCGGACAAGGACGGAATTCTGAACCGGGTCCGAAAACTCCTCCGTGGAAGCAGAGATGAAGGCGGCTACCACAGTGAAGAGTTAAGACTGCGGCGGCGACGGCGGTAAGCCCGAATAGGGGCACATACCGTCATTGGGGCCTCTCAACACCCATGGTAAGTCTTAATTTCATTCAAATTAACTTACAACAGTGCATAGCGGCTTCGGGGGCCCTTACTCAGGAGATCACCCGAGGCCGACATGACGTGGCTCTCATCCAGGAACCCTGGCTGAGAACCGGTTCAGTAAACGGGCTTAGTATACCGGGCTATACGCTTTTTAGCGTAATGACTTCCATTAACACATGGCAACTTTAAGAATTTACCTTCAGAGACTTAGTTGCAGTTAGAATTAGATATAAGAAGGAAGGCAGTGACAGGGACCTGGTCGAATGTTCGGCTTACCTTCCTTACGATTCAAGAGAGCCTCCTCCGTCCAAGGAAATGGGGGACCTTGTCGCATTCTGTAGGGATTCTGGACTCGACCTCGTGATTGGATGCGACAGCAATGCCCATCACGTTATGTGGGGCAGCTCGAACACCAACAGACGGGGCGAAGACCTCATGGAGATCCTAGGGGCATCGAACCTTGAGGTTCTGAATGTCGGTAACATGCCCACTTTCAGCAATAGTGTAAGAGAATAGGTTATCGACGTAACACTGAGCACGCTTAACTTAGCTCAGGACATTAGGGACTGGAAAGTGTCTCTAGCACCCTCTCTATCGGATCACAGGTATATACTGTTTAAGACTGATGGAGAAATTCCAGATTAATACGCTCGGAATCCTAGGCATACTAGATGGGGGTCCTTTAGGGCAGACCTTGACAGTAAGCTTGGAGCGCTCCCATACAAACTTTGTTGGGGCTCTGACATAGAAGCAGCCGTCGAGTCTCTGAGCAGGGACATGACGGCCTCATATGAGGAAAACTGCCCGTTACGCAAAGTCCAAGGTAAGGGCAAGGCAACCTTCTAGTCCAAAGAATTAGAGGATAGAAAACGAGCGGTGCACAAACTTCTTAGCAGAGTTAAGCACAGGAGAAGTTCTCCTCTATGGGAAGACAACAAAAAGGCATTGCAGGAGTACAAAAAGGAGATTAGAAGGGCCTCCAGAGAATCCTGGAGGAACTTCTGTCAGTCCATAAACGACATTCCTGCTACTGTGAGGATACACAGGGTCCTATGCAAAGACGTTCAAGCAAGCTTGGGATCCTCTGCATGATCCCTCGGGGGAGAATACTACTTCTGAGGAAGGTACTCTGAGGCTTCTGATGGATACGCACTTCCCCGGTTCCACAGTAGCGCGATCAATCACAGAGTGCATGCAGTTGCGCAGGCCCTCAGGGGAGGACTGGCGCACGGCTAGGGAGATTGTCACCTTCGAAAGGACGGTATGGGCAGTGGATTCATTTGCTCCGTTCGGTTGTTCCTCACCTGTTGAATGTGTTTCGAGCATGTGTGGCCACGGGCTTCACACCTACAAGCTGGCGGCAGGCTAAAGTGGTATTCATTCCTAAACCGGGCAGAGCTAGATATACTGACCCGAAGGATTTTCGTCCGATTAATCTTTTATCTTTTGTGTTTAAGACACTGGAAAGGATAGTTGATAGATACTTAAGGGATCGCCCGCTGGAAAGGTGTGTCATTCATGCAAATCAGTTTGCATACCCTGCTGGGAAATCGACTGATCTGGCCTTACACAATCTGGTCGGTAGGCTGGAGAAGACTCTAGATCAGCGGGAAGTGGCACTCGTGGCCTTTTTGGGCATTGAAGGTGCATTTAATTGCACCACAACCGACTCTATCGGACATACCTTGGTTAGACAGGAGGCTGGATCAATCCTAATAGATTTGGTCCCATCTACGAGTACTCTGGAGAGTCGGGTAGCAACAGCTATGCTGAATGACGTAAGCTGCAGTGTCAGCGTAGCTATAGGCTACCCTCAGGGCGGAGTTCTGTCACCCCTACTGTGGTGCATCGTGGTGAACGAACTCCTCGTTAGGCTCAGCAGTGTGGGTATCTACGTGCAAGCATATTCTGATGACGTAAGCATAGTAGTTAGGGGACGTTTTTGTAGAACAGTCTCGAAAATTATGCAGGTCGCTCTGCGCTCTGTGGAATCGTGGTCGAAGACTTGACGGGTTTGTCATGCCGACCTTCTTTGGGACTAGATTAATTCTATCCCAATCAGTGAAATATCTGGGAATTATCCTGGATTGCAAACTGAACTGGAGAGAGCATGTTGAATACAAGGTTAGCAAGGCTCACAATTCAATGTGGGCCTGTAGACGTGTTGTCGGTGTAAGGTGGGGGCTTAAACCCAAAGTGGTATACTGGCTCTACACGACGATAGTACGTCCATCTCTCTTGTACGGCTCTCTGGTCTGGTGGCCTTGCATCAGAACTGAGACAATTAAGGCCAAACTCAATAAAATTCAGCGTTTGGCCTGTAGTATTATTATTACAAGCGCAGTGCGAACAACGCCATTGAGTGCAATGGAAGCTCTGTTATATCTCCCACCGTTGGATCTGGTGATCCGCGAGGAAACGAGAGTAGTCGCTCATCGACTGTGGAGTCAGGGCAGCTGGGCTTTCTTGAATCCTGTCAAGGGGCATACTGCCATCTTAGTCCAATTGCAAAGGGAGGATCCCGTCCTTCTAAGCAGGGGTGATCGTATTACCCCTAAATATCGCTTCAACCGCAAGTGTATTGTGGAGTATCCAACAAGGGAGGAGTGGGACGCCGGTAGCCGGAGACTCTCCGGAGTGAGTCTGGTATACGGACGGCTCGGTCACCTAAGAGGGCTCAGATGCTGGGGTCTCTGGGCCTAGAACTAGGCTATCTCTGCCTCTCGGTGGATACATCACTATTTTCTAGGCGGAAATCTTTGCGATTCTGGCTTGTGTATCTCACATCCTGGAGGAGGTTGGGCCTAGGAGACGAATAACAACCTTATCCGACAGCCAGGCGGCAATGAAAGCACTAAATGCCTATAAGATTACTTCGAGTCTTGTATTGCAATGCATGGAGGCTCTAGTTAGCCTCGCAGCGAGGCATCCGGCATCGTTAATGTGGGTACTGGGGCACGCTGGGATAAGGGACAATGAGACGGCGGACACTCTGGCGAAGACAGGATCAGCCAGCAAGCTCGTTGGTCCTGTGCCAACTCTAGGAGTGACCGCGCATAGAGCTAGGTGGAAAATGGAGACGTGGGTTGCAAGACAACACTCTCAGAATTGGAGAAGTATCTCCAGACATCTCTGCCAGGCACGGGAACTCATTGAAGGGCCCAGTGCTAAGGATGGACGTTTCTGCCTATCTCTGGAGAGACTGTGGTGAGACTGTTGTCTGGCCATAACACGTTAAGGCGCCACCTGCACGTGATGGGGGTGGCTGAGGATCCCTTGTGTGAACGCTGCGGGGTAGAGGAAAAGACCTCGGCGCACGTTTTGTGTCGCTGTGAAGCTCTGAGCTACTATAGGCAGACTATACTGGGGTCCATTACTTTGGACCCTCAGGACGTCAAGGAGCTTGGACTCAAGGCGATTCTCAACTTCGCTAAAAGGGCGATGCTTGTGATCTAAGGAATGTAGAGGTGCATAAGGGCCCGCTTAAGCGGCCTATGCACTGGCTTCTTATGGTGGCCGGAATGCCTCTAATTTCAAGATTAATTCATTCATTCATACTAATGAGGTTAAATGTATCTTGTCGTGTTGTTAGTTCTTATTCACTGCTTAAGGTTATTAGAACTGGAGGAAACCTCTTTAGGCAGATTGTCTCACATAACTTGGAAACGAAGGAACAGTCGCACCAGCCAGTTTTTTTATTCTGATGCAGTCACGTAGACACAAACTTATAAATACCGGAGCACCGCAACTGCTATATTAAGGGGCTAAAAAGACACCTTGTTAAACCAATTTTTGAACTAAGCGAGGTAGTAAAAAACCTCTTCAGGCAGATTGTGTTCCACAATCTCGACATCCCCTAGGAACAAAGAAGAGGCCTAACCTAATTTCGACAGAGTTAGTATGGGAGGCAGAAGCCTGGCGGGTCCGTCTGGCAGTTTCAATAGACGGTGGCATCATGAAGGAGAGCTCTTAGGAGCCGGTCGGTGTAAAAAAGGGAACCAAGAGCTTCCGTTAGAGTAGTGTAATCGATCAGTCTTCTGAATAGCGTGGAGTATGAAGAGTGTAGCCAAGGTGGTAGCACCCCAGATACGTGAGGAGTATTCAAGGGTGGGTCTTATCTGGGCCTTGTACAGAGTGGGGAGGTTATGTGTGGAGAAACATACGTCTAACCAGCCGAAATAACGAATGGCTCTTTGGCGGAACGCGACCATTCATCGAAAAAAAAAACATCGAAATATCATCATGCATATAGTTTTTTGTGTGCAAATAGTTCATTCCACGTTTGCTTGTTATGGTCGCTGTTCGCTGACGGTTCAGCAACACGAACAGCTACAAAACCAGTTCACAACAAGTGTACAACAGCTGGTGCTAAGTTAACATCGACAAAATGTCACTTTTCAAAGATACGTTGCAATACCCGTACCGGCGTTTCTTGTCATCAGTGATACCTTCTAAACCACTCGATGTCTCGATATACGCGTAGTACGATCCAATTGTGATAGTTGCGACGGGAAACAAAAGCATAGCGTCACGGGTATTACGTATCTTGAAAAGTGACATTATGCCGATTTTTTTTTACAGTACACTGTTTTTTTGTGACATTATGTACAAGATGTTAACTTAGCACTAGCTGATGGACACGTTCTGAACTCGTTTTGTAGTTGTACGTGTTGCCTAAACGTCATGAGGCTTCAATTATCAATATTTGGCTCTGATGAGATGTAAAATCTGCTTCAGAGATGGCATTACTGGAGGTAACGGCAATGCATAGGTGAATAGTGAAGATTTGTGTGCTAATGATATGTGTAGATGATAATTCCATTGGATTTTTGTCTCAAGATACACTAACTTGACATTCAAAGCTAGAAATTATTTGTACATCCACTTTTTCTTATCCATTGGAAATTACATATGCAAATTTGCTGACTTTCAAAAATGATAGAGATAGGAAATAATTATATTCACTGAACACTGTTGTATTACAAGTCATATACATGCTAACAGTAATTACACAACACGCGGGCGGCGTGGTGATTTCCCGTAATTGTAGTGAAAGTTTTTGAAAACACAAAAAGAACGTAAAAATCGTAATTGATAACTTTAAACATAACTTGTTTTCTAAAAGGACAACTTATAAATATCCAGTCGGGCACAGCTAATAGATATACTTCATTGGCAGCATATTCAGTAATGATTTTATCATACAGCAAATATCTCTGATTTTATACACATGTAGACCAATACACACAATCATCCAGATGCGATCTTGCTATTCAACCAAATAACCAACTTTCTTCTCAGAGATTCAGAGATGAAAACTATAGACCACTCGGCTTCACAAAACATATGCAACCAGCAATGCGTGTATACGTGTAGTTGGGCCATTCCTCCATAGATGGACGCTTACAACGATCCTAGTGAGCAAACGCGGAATGATTGTTTCATAGGTTTCTTACATAATACCCGTGCGGGTACGTTTTGCAGGCCTAGAAAGCGGCTGCAGCCTGAAGGCTTGTTCAGCGGAGCAAAGTTCGCTAGAGTATCGATAGAAGATTGGAGTTTTTTAGACCCATAATAGTGAGGTGGGTATTATGTTTTATATTTATGAACTCTTTAATGTGCTTAGTCATGATAAATCTATCTGGCTCATATATATAAAACAATTAAAATACCCAAATAATACCACATACATTTGATCTACTTTTCCGAGATCATTATCAGTCCAAGATCCGGCAACGTCGGCAACACTGCAGGTACTACAAGTTGACAGTAACGTGGAAAGGAGACAACTTGATGGATAGTTTAAAAGTTGTGAAAAATCGGAAAAATGTAAAGAAATTTGTGTTTCGGTAAATAATAAGCAAGTATGATCATTTACTAGTGTTAAAAGACTCCAAATCATGGATTCCTTCACGATAGATGTGGCGATACAGGCGATTTTGGGTGAGTGATCTGGAATTGTTTTTTATTTCGTCTCGTCGGTCACTGCTGTCTCTCTGGCTGGCTACAAAATTGCCCTCTTATAAATAATAATAGAGATAAATAACACTAAATAACATACAGTTAGAGCTGGTATTATCGACAAGACATCTTAAGCATTAAAATCCATCAAAAGATTTCATTATACAATAATTTATCTCGCAAATTGGATAAATGTTTTGATATACAAGACTGGAATAGGGGGGAGGATAATTTCCTTATTTTATATTTATAACACATATCTGCAGCGGCTGACATATATTTTATAATAACTTGTGGAAAAATACATTCACTGCCGGCACGTTTGCAACCCAATTCGCCGAATTTGGCAGTATATTGATAGTGATTTGATATCAACAGGTGGATCCTCAGGGTTCGAGAGATCGCGAAAAAGTGTGTTGTTTTCGATGACACTCCATCAAATACTATGTAAAATTTCGCGATATGTAGGCTTTATGAAGTTTATTATGAAGAAATGATGAAAAATGCAGATAGAAATGTTTATTTTGCTGGTGTAATGCCAAGGACATGTGTCTCCAAAGAGTGTTAACAGGAAAAACAGTTATATGGTTGTATTATTGAGTTACTGACACTATGTTATTTAGTGCAAAATAGACCAATTCCAACATCATTTATTGATGTTTTGCTTGCACCTATCACTATGTCTGTGGTAATTTTTTTGATTTTTGGTCATGTTTGTTTCTAGATCAGTGGTTCACTGGAATCAAAGTATCTTAATGATATATAGTTAAGGATATTTGTTATACAGTTTGGTTCCTTGGAGATTCCCCATCACATAATACATCATTTATATAACATATAAGGTTCTTAATCTCCCAACTGGAGCATAAAGCAACAGTGTAAACATGACACCAAATTCTATTTTGAACCAGATAGTACACTTCATTTCATGTCTTGTCTTGACTTCTCAGCTCACCATGATCTTCTCCAAGTTTAAGCAGGGCATTCTCTTTTCTTTTCATCCTGGTGATTCCAAATTATGCCTACCTTATTTTTAATGCAGGTATTATTTTTCTGAAGTGTGTGGCCCATTCAACCCACATTCTAAATCTAATTTCTATTCCCCTTTGTCCAGTCAAGTGCAGCAGATCTTCATTTCTTTTAATTATAGGCCAGCCACATAATATATTATACTGTACTACCCCCTTTTTTAAAAATATTGTAGCTGAACCTACTATCAATGACCTTATCATTCCCTACAATTTAATAAAAATAGGTCAAGTGGTTACTGAGATTATGTGTTTACACAAAATCTATGGTAATACTGACTAATTTTATAGTTTTCATAGTTAGAGCATATCACTTATGCATAGGAAGTAAAATTGTGTATATTTAATATTTGGAAAACCTACACCCATTCAAAAATTGTGTTTTGGTCCTATTTTTGAAAATGTATTGTTACATATTTCAGTTTTACCTGAAAATTACACAAAACATAATTTTTTTCGGTTTCTCTGTATTTCAGAAATACAACCAGAAAATTTTGTAATGAGTGCCCATGGAGGCCTATCACAGCAAGGACAAAATATTTCATAATTTTTAAAGCCGTATCACTGACAGTAGCGTGAAAAAATAATATTTGATCCCTATGAAATTAAACAAGTACAATCGAATTTCAATATCTTTGCATCAGGTTAACTACAGTACTACTATGACAAAGATTACAACTTTATTGTGTTTGATTCCGCGGAGTTGTCAAAAAACGGTAAAAACAAATATGGTTCAAGTACTATTTTTGAGTCTTAATATGAGTTTAGATTGGAGAGCACACACATAATTGAGAAAACATTTGGCATAGTAAATCTCTACAAAAGTAAAACTTATCTTTTTAGTCAGATCAGTTTCAAACGTGTCCAAACTCTCAATTAATTTACAACAAAGCTGCTAATACATAAATATGTTATTATGTTACGCCATACATTCTTATTAATCTACATACTTTTTGCTGTTTATTTGAATGGTCTAGGTAATGTCGTATTCCCTAATTTATTCACGGTTTATGTGATGACGTTACATCACTTTTCTAGAAAATTGGGTCAAATGACACCTGATAATGTGCCTCCTTCCAAGCTCAAGTACTTCTCTTCGATTTGTAATTTATTTTTAGAATACAGACATTTTTTTTTAAGGGCGAAACAATAATTATTTGTGTATAAGGTGCGCAAAGCGCTACTTTGTCGCTCGAAACATAATTTTGATCCAAGAGTCGCGGAGTGCAGACCGTCATTTTGAAGAGCGGCACAAATATCTAGTTTATGCTTGAATTTCAGGTGATTTTTACTTCCCACGCCACTGGCGAGGAAGTATTGTTATCGCGAAAAATTCCGAATTTGAGATATGTTTTTTGAATCTTACATGACATGTACATCACGAAAATTGTTGTCCGTATGCACCCGGATATCACATAAATAATCGCAATGGCTTAATAAATTGTTAATATGTGTTTCAGACTACTAAGACTTTGCAAGAAGTTCCAAAAATACAAACGCATTATTCCAACTGTGCTCCGCAATATGATTTTTTCAATAAAATGTAGTTAAACAATATGTATAAACTGTAAAAAAAATAAAAATGAGAATTTTGCAAAAACATTAAAAATCCATGGTTTCTTGTATGAATCTATACTTTGTATGTTTGTATTCTTTTGTGGAATTAAAATTTCATGGGAACTCGTTGACACGTTTGATGCGGTTTGACTCAAAACGAAAAAAAAATATATATCTTCGAGTTGTGTTGATAGTGAATTAAAATGTTGTGTAGTTTTGATAGCATAGCCAATAGATGCAAAAATGTTCAGACCAGAGACTACACCAGTGACGTAGACATTGGAAAATTTTGATCATTACAGAAGAAATGGAAAATTATTCTCTAAGCCACTTTTTTTTAAACATCTGTTGCATTTTGAATAAGATATTTAATTTTTATATGAGTCACTTCGATTGCGAATTTTTTGTCAGATTGCTTTTGGTGAAAAATTTGTTGGAGGTAAAAAACTCCAACCTGTTTTGCTTATGAAATACGCTGAAATTGTGTATTAGGAGAATTATCCTATCTCACCGTGGCGCTATTTTAACAATATTCGTGTTCTATCATTATTCAGTCTCATTAGAACCGCATAAACTATAGCGCCCTATATCTTGGTAACTGAAAATTTCAGGCCTTATGTTTATAACAACTTTTTTATTTTCGGATGCACTTTCGACTCTAAAATTATTGCATACCGTCGATTCGTTGTAATTTGAACATACCGGTTTCAGAAGAAATGAACACCCTTATCTCGGTAACGAAGCCGTAAAATAGCCGGTATGAACTCTTTTGTTCAGTTTGACGAGGCATATTAGATGGTATATTGTAAATCTAAAAATTTGAACGCATTCCACTGAAAATCGCAGACATCGATCCAGTGGAACTTGGTTCCGAAGTTAAGTCATTCCACTAAATCGTTCCATCGTTGAATCGATCTACCAGTAGCGAGTCTAGGTGCCTGTAAATCGGAAAATCTCTAATTGCAATCAATACTTGGGAAATGTTAACTTTGTTTGCCCGACTGCAAACAATAAGGCTCGCTTTTTCGGGTGGAGTAGTCAAAAATATTTTAAAACAGCCAGTATACGTCGTCACCCACATTGCATGGCTAATTGACTGCGCACCCCTTTTAATACCTCCAATTGGATTATTGACATAATATTCTGATGAGCTCAGCGATCCGTGAAAACCACCGTTTGTTTTTGTTGGCATCGTATGTTGGACCTATTTTTATTTACAGGTTTATTTGTTTTTATCATAGTCGGCAAATACTTTGAAACAAAATACTGTTTTTACTGGTATAGGGAGAATAGCGCGCGAACCTTATCTATGAAAATAGTTTCCCTTTAACAACAGTCTATTCTAGTAAAATAGTATTTTGCATTTATACATGGTGTTTACATACAACTTTAATTTGCTTTTTAATGGAAAACCTGATATACATTGGTGCATTTTTAGATTTTACGTTCCACCTAAAGACAAGATGCATTATTCACAGGAGGTTTCCATATACTCGTTCGTTTACCAACGCAATTATCAAAGTGACTTTGACTGTTAACGTCTTGAAAAGCGCCACTATCGTTAACACGCAAAATTTTTGTATTTCTGGGTTTGGTATAAATGACTCATAATTGGATTATCAGTTTTTTGGAAGAACACTGCACTGGTTTAACCTCCCGTTTAAAAAATGAGCTTCATATCCCATAGTTTATTGCCATTTAAACTTGAACGACTTTTACATTTTGCGCATCATCTATCGTGGGTGTTTATAAACGCAGCATGGATGGAACATCATTGTATTTTTTCTACTGGATATTTTTATTTATGTTTTATTTTGGTATAAAGTTTTTGGGGGTTAATTTATTAGTTATTTGAGTTATATGAGTGGTTTGCAGTTTCCCCGTAGGTACAATTCAAAATAGATAAATACAAAGTAAATTCGGAGAAAAGGAGAATTTTTAGTGAATGGGAAGTAATTTCGATGAAGACTTGTCCTCATCCACTAAAAATACTCCATTTCCACGAATCATATTTGGTATTTATGTTGAATTGTAGTTTCTGGAAAACTGCAACAGCACAGCTCAGACAATGAGTAATTCATCCCCCAAACAAATGTGTCCCAAAATAAAATTTATCAAAAATATAGCCCAAAACCGTGTTCCATTGAATTTATTGAGAAAAAGTAAATTTTGCGTTTATAGACGTTGCATAT